GCTCCAAAGTAATTTATACAAAAAAATATTGATATTTTAAAAAATTCTAAAAAATAAACTACTTGATTTAGATAAATATTTTTACCATCAAAATATTTCTTTTAATTAAATTTACAAATTGGCTATTTTGAATTTTTCCAACAAAAATTTAATCAAATTAAAATTTTTTTATTTGTACGTGTAGCGCAAAAGTCTATTAATAATAAACAAAAAGATATTTAAAAAATATTAATTAGAACAAAAGTTATTCTAAAAGTCAGTTATATCTGTTACACCCTGTATATTACAAAATAATTAAATAATAATAACCATAATATACTGTATTTAGATATGACATGGCAGTTTTAATCTAATTGAACMCATATAAACTAAACCGACACAATATAACAAAACGAAAGACACCCACAGGATATACAACATATTAAATATAATGTAAACATAGTGTAATACAAAATATAAATTTATGTTAGTACATAGATCTCGCGAGGTTTGTTCAAACAGCCTCTTATCACTTGGATTAAAGACTTTATATTTTGCAAAGCTCCTTCCCCTATTACTAGAATAAACAATGGGTAAACGGGGAAAAGATGTGAAATAATGTATTTTAATTCGAGTTTTATGTTCTCTATAGTATGTACAATATATATATATATAGATATACTAATACCGTTATAATTTATAATTTACACTGTGTTTATGCCTCGCAGGCTTACCTATAATTTCGTTTAGCAACCTGATGCATTCCATGCCTTTGTTTATGTCTTCCGAATAAAATTCCGTGAAATTCGGTATACTTGCAAACATAACGCCAACCTTGTCGATGGACTGCGAGTACAGTTCCTATGAACACGAACGGGTTTATAAACACGTTAGCATAATAAAATATATATTATAATATGATTGAGGTTTATTATTACAACTAATACGAATTAAATAATATACGTTGCTACGTGTCCAAGGGGGGTTGTTTTAGAACATATATGTGGTTCAAATCACATATAGCTCCCACATCATAATGATAAGTTTTTATTTGAGCTGAATCTACTTACGTCTGTAGTGTGCCTGCGGGAGGACGATAAGAAATGGTGAGCGACGTGATCTGGTAATATATTGCGCAACAGTTGACGGTTATTGGTCCTAGTTTCGCGCATTTCGGTCAGCTCACGTTCGGCTTCCCGTTTCCACAGAAAGTCCAATCGGGACGTCACTTCTACCAATCGGGCATGATAGGCCACCAACACCAGAAACACGATCAACAGTAACAGCATCTGTGAGGATAGCGGCATGGTCCGGTGTTCGGTGTCAGTTTGCGAGAACACTTGTGGGTAGGCCAGCGACGTGAGCACCGTGTAAACGGCCACCATGATGGACGCCATGAAAGTCTTGACTAGGAAATATAGCTTGAGCGTGGTGGCTAAGGCTATTAGACACAGCACCCAAGTGAACACCAAATACTCGGGGTGCACACAGTCATTGGACTCTTCAATCCGTCGTTTCGTCYTTCTGCCGTCGTCATCGTCTGAGTCGTCCTGTTTCCTGATTAGGTGCTCATCGGGTGTAAACAGCTGAATTAATAAACAATTAAGTAAATATCAACAAAACCTACTGATTTGGATGGTTTATTTATTTATTTTTTTGTTTTTAAATAATAAATATCGAATAATTATCTCTATAGTTATATAGAGACGTTTTAAGTTTTTTTCACTTAAATAATGAAAGAAGCATGATGCGACTTCGGATAATCGCCTACAGACGGGAGACTTAACGYGCGTGAGTCGAATGGCCATATTAACAGCAAATATACTTACGAGACTCAGAGTGGAAGAAAAACATATAAGTCCGACTACAGCACAAATGAACATTGTCCGCCTGAATCGGTTTTGCACCAATACTGAGGACATCCTTTGCAAAGCCGACGGCAAGTGCATGAACTCTTCAGCCATGACAAGTGTCAGTGCAGCGCAAAGCACAACGGTGGTGAATGTTAAGGCGACCAATAGTTTCATACATCGGGGCAATATGATCGTTTGACAACATACGACCAACAGCCAAATGATAAAACAACAAGCCATGTTTGATTTAAACATGTCTTCGCGTAACTGACAAAACTAAAAATAAAAATGTATTAACTGTTATAATCATGGCAATTATATGTAATTTTTTATTGTAGAAGGTAAGTTCGCTATTAGTTATAGACTATAGTTTTGTAAACATATTTTTGTATTGGAAATATACATAACCATTATAATGATCGTGATGGTGGTAATGAAAATAAATTGTATAAATACAATTATACAATAGATTCGTATTCTTACTTTAGTTTCGATTTCTGGTTGTTTGAACCTTAAAGTCCATCGATCTATGTTTTCGTTTCTCATTCTTTCATTACTCTCGACTTCGATACAATGATCCATTATATCTTCAGCGTGTTCTACGTCTCCTTCAATCGTGATAGGAGTACCACATTCACCATCGTCGATTTCTAATTCTTGATCACTTGTATTTAACTACAAAATAATAAATAAATTTAACATCATGATTATATTTTTAATAGTTTTAATATTTTGGTTTTCAAATTTACATTTTCAAATGGTATTTCCGGAGTCCATTCGTTGCATTTGTTGTCGTCGATATAATCCTCTGTAAATCATAATAATAAACTTAGGATCCTGATAACAATAGATAGATACTCCCTCCCCGATAATTAGTTTGAAATTTATTTATTGTGGATTACTTTACTTAATTAGTTAAGTCCCTATTATAAATTAGTTTTYTAAAAGAAAAGATTATATTYRATATTCAATAAGACTTGTGTCAACCATYAGACAGTTTACTTTTACTAATAGTTGATATTTAAAGCGTATGTATATTGTTTATCGATTCCACCTATTTTCTATAGACTCATCTGAATGGCTACTGTTTATAATATTTACTTATCGATTTCACCGATAATTCAATGTAATATAAAATTATTAAATATTGAAATTTATTAAATTGAATACCTACATAAATATTTAATGATTATAGTTATATTAACAAAAGTGTTGGTTGTTAATTTGATATGAATATATTTATTTTGAATTGTATAAACTATAAATTATTGTTTAAATAAATATTATTTTATATTGAACATTAACACGTTTAACATAATGACTTGTGTATTAAATTAATAATCGTATTAAATTATTTAGTAAAATATTAATGTATCTGCAATTTGTGATCTTTTTTWAAACTTTTTTTTACCCAATTCCACTTATAGTYTTAATAGTCATTACTTATTGCATTTCAAATTAAGCTTCTTAGTAATTAATTTTTTTCTTATTCTATAAATTATTTTTATTATAAAATGTAACTTTTGTAAAATGTTTAAGTTGTATTTATTTTAAATATTGTATGTACTTATTTAATATAGAATGTATTTATTCTATAGGTATGCTTCTAAAYCAATAATATGTCTGGTGCATAAATGTCAGCTTAGTTAGTCAATAGGAAATGAAATCAATAAATGTCAGAAATAGTGTGAATTCATCTACAATCTGCTAGCAGAATCTCAATAAAGATCTTCACCGGTGGCACTATTGAACATTTTAACTGAAATGTCACAATAATAGGAAACTGCATACGAAAGATAACACAAGTTACGAATTTTACAAATAGTTTTACTTATCAAATAATTGTTTTTGTTATTGACAGCCAAGTAGGTATTAATTTAAATAAAAATGAATGGGCTAAAAAAATAAATATACTGCAACTTATTAAAATCGTTCATTATAAAAAAAATAAGGAAAAAGTATGTTATTAATTAATAATTATTAACATTAATTAATATGTCATTACCTATTTATTATTTTCTATTAACTTATTTAGTCTTTAAATATTTTTATCAAGTAATAGACAGTTATGTAATAAGTATACGTAAAAATTGTTGTTTTCCTTACCTATTAAAAGCTAAATTAATATTAAATAACACGATAAAAACTTTATAAAAATAAGTAATATTTAAAAAAAAAAAAACTAAAGATTATCTTGTGATAATACAGCTATTATAATGGCTCGAATACTAAGGTGACTAAAGATTGATAATTTGTGTGATCCAGCAACTCTATACCTTCTAGGAAAACGACACTAGTCCTGATTATGCTGCCTAGCTATTCGACTTCAAAACTTTACTCGTCAGAGATTCATACAAGTGGTTAAATGGCCGATTTATTTTTGATGATAATATTATAGGATCTACCTATACACCGTAATAGTGTAATACCGTACATGATGTTTTTTTAGTATAATTTATGCATTTATTTATACGTTGTTATTTTAGCATTTAATATTTTTCATCTTTGTGACAGTGTAACTTATCTTAATATGCTATTCAATGAATTTGCTTGTTCTAACAATACTAAACAATGTACATGTATGGAATGGTCCACGCCACACTATTATAGCTGTACCGAATGTGTCGTAACAGCGTCGTATATATTATTATTAACATTGACTTTTGTTATGATACAATATTTACTATTTAAATTAAAACAATGTGTTTATTGTTGAATAACATTAAGTTAACTAGATTTGTATACAATATTCGTGTATATGTGTGCACATCACATGTGTTGTAACTAACGATTTTGTCCCACGTTTGTGTTTGTTCGAATAAATAAATAAATTATGCAAAGATTAATAATACATAGATATATTTTTTAACATAAATTAAATCTATTAATTTTAATATTCATTGTAAGTTTTGAGATTTTTTTATTTTTAAACGTGAAATACAAATAGGAAATGTAAAAATAATATCAAATAAGCATGCTTATATATATACAAATATAAATGTATAAAACTATAATAGGTAGCTGGTAAGATAAAATGTTAGTTAAATAATTCAATAGATGTAAATGTCAGTAATAATTATTTCTGATCAACAAACAATAATATCAGGCAAGTACATACATATTATATTGAACTATATGATTCAAATAAATATTTCAATATGAAACTACGAAAGATACGTATATTTTTGTATCAAATATCTTATTATATTATATTCCTAAATGTAAATAATTATATTGATACATATAGTGTATATTGTATTTAAAATAATATAAGTAATCATAAAATAACTATTAGCCAAGAAAAGTATGAAGATGAGTTAAATTACCATATTATGTGAGTTGTACTGCACATAGAATATTTTTATATTGTTAACATAGTAGGTAGTCTATTAGCTACTATATTAATTTATACGCTTTTAGTTTTTTTAAATTTAAATTCATTTTATAGACAATAAATTACCAATTTTTGGTGATATTAGTTTCTGCGCATTGGAGTTGAAACACAATTTCTCGTCAGACCATAGACGTGGTCTCGAAGAATTAATTTTCTGTAGCTTTCKGTGACCTCGGCAAGGCTCTTGTTCTTTAATTAAGAACGTTTCAATCCCGTGATCCTGCAGCACAATAAAACACAATACCGTGYCATATTCGGATAATTTTGAATAATAGTAGTATAGTTAATTATAATTATACCCTTAAATAAGCATCGCGATTTTCCCCATGACCGGGTTCCGTATCGTAGGCTTCTTCTAAGCAATCCAGAGTAGCCTTGGATATGTGAACACGACTAAAGCCGAACAGTGTGTAATGATATTAACGTTAACGCAAAAGAGAAACCAATAAGAGAGTAAACATWTAAAATATATACCCAGGTATTCCACCAGACTCTAAGTGATTGGCTAATGTCACATCGTAAGACCACACGTCAAATTGCCACTTCCTGAGTCCTAAGACTCCACAAAGAACCGACCCTGAATGTATTCCGATGCGCATGTTGAGATCAACCTGTTTCAAATCCAATTATTCAGTTRGTAATTTTATTTAATCGATACGAATCATTTTAGCATGGTCTATGAACGTTTCAAGTCGTGACTGTGTAGCTGTAGCCCCAAATGATTTTAACATAAACGAGGTAAAGTGGTACAACGTTAAAATTTGTTTGAAAAGTTGCGCATACACATTAACTCATTATTTGTAACTTACCGATAAATAGGTAATTGAACATCAAAAATCAATGCCACGATGAGTGGAAACGTATTTTATGGATAAGTACCTATTACATATTGTGTCGATGATGTTCATGCGGTGACAACGATGATGAATAATATACGAAACGGGCGCAAACGGTTACACATCGCCAATTGACATGTGATTTTTTAAAAATCTTTTGGGGCGTAAATGGACTACACAATTTTCAAGTGATTATAATATTATATAATATACCCTTACATTCAAYTTATTTCTCACTTCCTTGATTGCGTTTATCATATGCAAACCCATTTCTACACAACACACAGCGTGGTCTTGTCTAGTTTGAGGAAGACCTGATACACAATAATAACAATCGCCCAACAGCTTGATACGAAGACAGTGGTTTTCCTAGTTAATACATTTATAATATAATAATTGGTAAAATTATTAGTTTTTTACATACATTTCGTACTTACCGCAGCTAGTTTATCGAAATTAGCGAATAGATCGTTCAGTACTCTGACTAATTCTTGAGCACAAGTACGACTCGCCCATTCTGTGTAAACAAATTAAAGCAAATTAAACGATAAGTTAGATAGATCCATAAGAATAAATTTTCATGCATTTATATCAAGTATCAAGTATTTCTATAAATATAGTATTTACTAAAAAATGTTTGTATTAATATTTGGATACAATTTAACTATATACGGTATGAGAACTACAATAAGAAGCTGAATAAGTGCATAGTATAAATTTAGTACCTAATTAGTAAGTTAAATTTTTTTATTTTTAGTGATCTTAACGAGTGTTAATATATATAATTAGTTATTAATTATATTCAATATTCATATTATATAATAATATACYTATGTATATTTAAAAATTATATTAATCGTATATAGTACCTACCTAACATTGTAAAAATACCTGGTGTACTAACACAATTAAATAAATAAATAATAATTAGTGTTCAATAGTTTCAATAGTATTATATGATAACTAACATAATACAGAACAAAAATAATATGTAGCGTATGTTTTAGTGGGGAAATAAATTGATTTAAATAATTTTCAATAAAATATTGGCGACCTAGAAGATTCTAAAAATATTTCACTGACCTGTAAAACCTTTAATATCGGCAAAAAGAATACTGACGTCTTCGTAGCGATGAATGTAAATTCGGTGAAATTGATTTGGCATAAAAGGCCCTTTGTCCGTTTCAGAAGCAATGTCTTTAATTATTTCCCTAGCCACGAAATCTGGYAAAACTGCATCAAACAAAATATGATAATGACYGATTTGTTTAACAATATAATTATGATGTAATTTGTCAATTTACCGGAAAGTAAAAGTTTTTCTTGTTGTTCGTTTTCCTTTTGGGTCTTGAACCGGGCTTCGGTGGACCTATGTGTTTCCAAAAATGCCTTTCGTTGACTTCGGTCCGTTAAGTACTTTGTATACATTCCGGCAAAGTTGACGGCTGCATACAACAAACTCATTGCGGTTAGCTGACGAACTACGCACAGTCTATTCTGTACCCGTGGGATAATATTTTTAAGTCGAACATTTTTTTTTTTTTTAAACGTTAAGATGAATAAACTCGTTGGCGAGAAAGACACCCGCGCCGCACACTCCAAGGTCATTATAATAATGTAATAAATTGTAACAGTTACCTTTCTGTTTCTATCGCACATTATATGTGTGCAAAAACGTGTTCATTCGATGACCAGTCACAAACAATTGATAAATTATTTTTAAATTAAAACACTTATAATAATATGTATATATACTATGAAAATTAAAGTTACCGATGTCCAGAAATACCGAGAGAAAAATTCGCATAAATTATAAAAATGTATTCTTAATAAAATTAAACACATTAAACGGGTCTRCATAGAGTATATTTCTATAGTCACTTGCTAACCGTATCTGACTGGTGACCATGTGAACTTGAATGGAATTCGCAAATTTTCGATAACAGACATCATCGGATACGATTAGAGAACTCGTGGCTGCGCGGTGTGTYTCATCGAGTACAGGTGTCAAAATAATTACTTTTTCCTTTGACGATTTCGTGTAACTCGTGATGAGTATATGTAACAATGCTGTCGAACAACCTGCCAGTATACACCATCTCAGCGGAAGCGGAAGCATGGCATATGTAACGAACACGATGAACAACACGTACCACACCAGATATTCTCTAGATCCTTGGCCATAACTCTCCCACACGAAACCTTTCATATGACACATAACACAGGTAAAATCGTCGTATRCATATTGTTAGTTATTAGCTATAWACTAACGCTATATGTTTGAAAAAATGTAAGACATTTCGGTTGTCTAAGTTTACTAATTATTATAAATACACTTCTTATTATGCAGTCATGTAGAGCAAAACAATAGATAGGTATAAGTTTTCACTAGGAATTCGGATGTKCGCTTATTTTTTTCACTTTAGCATAATTGTTWAAATTACGAACTACCATACAGTTGGTACCTAATAAAAGTCACAAATCGTGTGTACTTGAATGCTTATATAGGTAATAATTGGATCGTCACGATAGACGAAAAATTAAGATTATTCGAATCATAATATTACACCTCAACTGCAGCACTATAATACTTATGTATAATATGCGTGTTATTAGTTAAATTACAGTTAAAGTGTTGACTTCCGTTATTTTATGAAATAAATAGGTAGTTYATGAATTACCTACCTACGAATATTAAAGTATACTCTAACTAGTTATTCCGCATACAATTTTAGTTAGWTATACGTTGAAATATATAGAATACACTAAAATTAAAAATATATTATAAGATTTTATTTATTTTAAATTAAATTAATTACAAATTAGTTATTTGTACATGCAATTGTGACATTTAGAGTTGCATATAGTACTTTTTTTTCTTCTGCAAAGACACCGCTTTGTATCACATTTTTTAATACAAGTGTACTTAAAAAACCATAATCAGTTCCTAGTGACTACGCAGTTTCCACAGATTTTAATGTAACACTATCATTGGTATGATGGACAGTAAAATAACGATATTGTACATGATATTTTGTATACAATTTGACACATTAACTAAATGATGTTAGGTAATATATAAAATAACTAGTTAAAGTATAAATTATATACATTACCTACATTTTTTAAATTATCAAGTTATTTCATAAAATAACTGATTCAACACTTTAACTGTARCATATAAACCAATTATCATWAGCGTTATGATATTATACATTTATTTTTTATTACCTACTTTGATAAATAGAAATAAAATAAATAAATGCGGAATAAATATTTTATCCCGTAAGCACCTTGTATGTTGATGAAAAACCACGTGAAAACGGCTGCCCACTGCAGGTAGTTGTTGGCAAAACATTTCCACCAACCGAGCAGACACACGGTGAGATTGGCAAACATTGTCAGACACGTCCATATGGCCCTTTGGCTGTGGTAGGGCTCGTGGTAGGTCGGCAACAGCCACACACCTGTTTGCGCGGGAAAATCGCCAGTCAGTATAAATTACAGTAATAACATTCAACGATAATGTTTCATAATAATTATGGTGTCGAAAGTTGAAATCCTTAGTTTGACCGCATAATATTCGCTAACTATGTACATAATGTGAGCCGCTATACATTCAAATATTAGATTAGTGCGACTAGATGATATTACTAGGTATGTATGCATCATTGCGTTGTACGGAGGTATATATTATCATAACCGCTTCGTTATATTTATTACGTTATATTACCTACTCTATATATAGTATGGTGTTATCATTGTATTTTTACCTTTGAAATTTCTTCAATAACACATTTAATCAATAGTCGAAATAATTTTCGTAAATCTGAAAGACATTTTACCGGCTAAGACTGCTTTAAGTGTCATGTCGACGAAATTAACGATGATTAAGGACTTCTGCCGTTGTCTGTGCGAGTATCTCTGATACGATACTTCGAGACTGGGTTCTCGAAAACTGTTGGTGAGCGTCGGACAATAAATGCCTTTGTAAACTCTGCCTTTTTTGAACACAGGCTCCGTGTACTCGACTGTAACAAATAATAATTGCATTATTAAGCATGCCGACGCACCAAGATTATAGTATATGTATATTGTATAATACTACTGTAATTGAATATAATACTACACTGTAATTGATGATTCGAAATGGTTATCTATATTTTTTTAAGCATAAGTTGTACGAAAATAGAAATGATTTAAAACGCGCTCGTTTGGAGGAGTTGTAGAAGGAGATTTGCTCATTTAAAATAATTATTGTATATTAGTTATTAGTATAACWGTCGTCATTAAAATATTGTTATTTTAAAATACGACTATAAGGACTATTATTAATAATTATTCCGAATAAATCTAAAAATGTTTCTAATCTGCAGCCTCTATAAATTCACTAGGTATTTCTTTATCATCTACAACCAAGTTTCCTTCAAATAAAATAATTGTTTTTGCATACGCTGTTTTTTTKAAATCAAATGGATTTTGTTTTGATAATGAATAATGTATGTTACAACATATCACTGTACCTAATGGATGTGTTAAAATTTTAAATCTAAATAATTACGACAAACGCAAACATTTTTTTTTTTTTAACACTCAATACTTAACCACAATACATTTTAATCCATTCTAAATTTAAAACCTTATACCGTATCAACGTATACTCGATATTGTATAGCTATAATATGCACACATCTACTCTTTTATTTATATCGATTATCGTCCTTATTATACATTATACGAATGATAATAACTAATGACGAATAACAAAACCCAAAAGAGCGCCAATATATTAACGTATAAACAGTTAACAGTGTAACATGTAAATAAATACGAATCGCTCGTAAAAAGTATTATATTATAATATTATATACGGACCCCCCGTAGGTATTATAGACAGATTTAAAAACGAGTCCTCTAAGTTTCCGAGTCATCATCCTCAGGGAAATAACGATATTAAATTATTAAACGTGTATGATATGGTTGAGGTAATTTGGTATTGCGAGAAAACCACATATTGTATTATTTTCCACAGAGAAATTACAATTACAATTCGTAACGGCTTACCGCACGGGCCGTTTACCTGTGTATAGGTATTACTGCATTAAGTAGGTTATATGGTGCAGTTTTGTGATCTGTATAGTATTATACAGGTATTCTATATTATACGACGGTCCCCGCCCAGAAATGGATTAATTTTTAATCAATAATATAAAATTTAATTTCAAATTAACATTCTTATTGCTAAATGAAGCGTACCTATATGATACTCAATGAAAATAAATGCTTTTTTTCATACATGCATGTATATTTTGTTCTCACAAGAAAATAGAATTATCCGACCAGGCGACAATTCCAATACGGACTCTATATTATATAGACTATAGACTATATAAATATAAAATATTAACAAACTAATTAGTAAATTGAATACAAATAATGCAATATTATTAGTTTTATATAAATAATTATTATCTTTCCTACAACGCGTGACGTCACGTATACATCACATATTATAATGCGATCACAAAAACGATTACATTCAAAATAAACTTTTTAAACGTTGAAGTTTTGAATAAAATGTATTATGGCTGTATAGTGTACTCGTATGGTTAGTTAAAAAAATTAATTATTTTTTATCCAAGTAATAATTTAAATTTTTATACTTCTCTGTACTCATATGTGGAATTTTCTTACAAACATTTATTTTAACTTATTTATTGTATATTCATTTTTTTTTGCAGTCAATATTATGTATGTTATGCTTAAACGGAAAATTTAAATTAATAAAATAATCAAACAAATCACATGTTCCATTTTATATACAGGTATCATAAGGCATACCTTGTTCAGTATCTGACAATCGATAATTATGAATTATTATTGACAATTTCAACCAATTATACCAACATTATTTTGAATGCAATTAGGTAATCTATAGCTATTTAATCATTCGTAACATATTTATTCTATTCCCATCACGCATAGAGTCTCTAGTGGGTGACTTCTTAATCACGAATACCATGTGTCTTTTTTTTCTGTCTCTTATTATCACTTATACTCATTATCCTAAGAAGTATAGATTATATAACTATTATGAAAAAAAAAAATAAAAAAATATTTATTCTACTAAACAACTAACACAATATAGATAGTACACTTTTAAAAATTAATCATTTTAATAAAAAAAAAAAGTAAAATATAATCAGGAAATTCAAAATAAAAAATATGCTTACAAATATATTTTATAAAATTATTATCATCAGAATCATACACAGCGAGGTTATAGGAAATCGGAGAAATCAATAAGGTACCCGTAATAATATTTAATGAAAAACGATTTGTCATTATACGAAATAATCATCATCGTAAAGCGTTAGGAAATGAACCATGGCGATTATAAGGTGGCAGCGGGAGGGTGGCGTTTGAATTCAGTTATGCTATATGAATGAGGTTTATATAAATATAAGCATTAGTGTGATTAAATATATAGGCATCTATAATTTTAATATATAAATATTGTAATAAAGTCGGATATTATAATAACGTAAACGTAAAAACGGTTCAGATTACGCAAATTAAATTCGGATACTCATAACGATAACATTATAACTTATTTCTGCCGTAAAAATGATTTACTTATAATATGACTTAAATCCGTTGGCAACAATAAAATAATGTAATAGGTTAATAGGTAGGTAATAAATAATAATAATCTCAGTATCAAATTTAAGTAATACAGTATAATATCAGTTGAGGAAATGTACGAAGCGATTTGAGTATAGGTATATAATAGATTATAATAATATCTATTATTATTACTAATATTGTATTATATTTCCAGGAAATTATAAAAATAAATAAAAATTATTGAAAGTTATTTCATTGAAGATAAACCAAGAGCRTTTTAAGTGTACAAAGCTTTTAAATTTTTAGAAACAAAAGCTTAAAGCAGTAGAAGAAATTAATGTTCCTCGAATGATTGACGGCTTTGCTAATTGAAAGTTTAAACCATAAAATAATATATTACATGTACGCTACGTGTATTATTATAAATTATCTATTTAAATAAAATCGCAATATTTTAGAAGTTTAAAGTTCAAACACATTAGGTTTAAGGCACCTTCCGACTAAGAGCCATTGCATAACTGAGGTCAACATTTTGAGTTTTGGGAAATATATGAAATACGTTAAACTGTAATCGGCTGTTGTGCCACACTACCTATTCTCAAAATCTATATGATTAAGTTATATAAATTTATCTAATTTACATCTTACAGGGTRCCGACGTACAAGTCTCGGGTGTGTTAGGTGTATCGACCGAAAAATAGATGTGTATATTATGTACGATAGTGTATTTTATACCAGACCTAATGAAAATGGGATATGCCGTTACCATAAATATTAGCTTATGTAGGTCACAGGAACTTTTCACATTTCGAGACGTTTCAGTAGCTGTTTAAAGTATATGTATTTACTGTGTAAAATACAAATATTTCGAGACTAACTATAGAGAAATAAAATTTCTGACTATCTACGCCATTCAAATCTAATTTGTACTAATTAATCGACCACGCGCTTGTTCCAAGTCAGTTTGGTCCTGTTGCATAGAAAATAGATGGTTTGACTCTAGTATAGACGTTAGAAAAAATTAACTACGGAATCTCAGAATAAATTATAATAGTAAATATAATATTTGAAACGTGAAGAATCGACATTGAAAATCGAATATCTTCAACTAAAGTCATAATATAGCAGTCAATATACAAAAGCRTCAAAAGCATGATTATTATTTAAATCTTTGAAATGTAAAAAATCAATCATTATATTAAAAATATTACAAACATTTTTTGAAAATATTTCATTTATATAATCTGAGTAAGATACAAATGCAATTCCAACGTTATTTATATTGCTGCCATTTTTCCACTCTTATACTCGTAATGTTGTTATCATGTATATGTAATATGTATATGTATACTTTCTAAAATGAAAATTTCTGAAAAATTGTATCATATAGGTACTATACTACTATATAAAACAGGGCTGACGACTAAATATAAATTTGATGAAAAAACATGTAAGTTACGTATTGAACAGGTCCTACAAGTATAATACTTGTGGATCATATCAAAATGATAGTTTTAAATTTTTTTATCTAAACGTACATTGGATACTGSATTGGAATTCAAAAACGAAACGAGTACTATGTAATTCTCATAACAGTAAACATTCTTTATTTTGAAATGTATTAACATTTTAGAAAACATTTGTTTTTACATAATCTTAAGTTATTAAAAAACTTTATTTAAAAATAAAATTATTGTTATTAGTTTTTAAGTTTTTACTTTTTAGAATGATATGGTATACATATTTTATAATGTTATATTTCTGAGAACAAAAAGTTTTTAAAAATGTTGAAGCATAAAAATTGAGTTTTGAGCATAATTASTTACCTACCTACATATCATTATAGTATAATAACTTATAGGCAAGTACATATTTAAAGTAACATGAAATTTTAAGTTCAGTTTTGYGTACCTCTTATTTTTAATGACTCCGAATTAGGAAAAAAAATACCAAAAAATAATTATTTTTTAAGATAATATGAGAGTTTATTGTTCATAGATCCACTGAATATATAATATATTATTTATATATAATTGAACATAAAAACAAATGGTTATACATTTTTAATTTAAACTTAAGCACTGCATCATAAATTAACAACAAAATATAATTAAAGAATGGTGTCACTATTGTCACATAAAAATAATGGTAACCTTACTTAACCTGTATAGTTGAAAATGGTAGAAACCAGAAATGGTTGAATGGTTTTTAATATCTCTTAAAACAAAACTCTGTAAATTAAATATTTTTTTTTCTTCTTTATTCAATAAAACTACCTCGGAAATTAAAAATATACATATTTTATATTTTATGCATGAACCACACTATTAAAAATGTAGGACTGAGGAGTGAGGAAAACATTAACTATAGACAAACAGTGGCTATAATTTTGGTAAAAATTGTTA